GAGCGTACTCCGGGATACAGATTTGTGTATCGCCGAGGGTTTACACACCCCTTCTCGGAGTGTAACCCCGGATGCGAAAACCAGCCCCGTCGTTTTTCCTCCCCTCGCTTCCTCCCCCCTCTCCCCTCTCTCACTCTTTCTCTCTTTCGTTCTCCTTTCCTACTCTCTCCGTCAGGACGACGGATTCTCCTCTCTCCGCTCCTCTCTTAGGCTTAAACCCCATCATCGCCAAGCGCCGTAGCTCCGCTTCGGGAGAGTGGAGTTCAGGAGGCCGACACGAGTGCGTTTCCCTCGTCCGGCTCGTCATCCATTCGCAGGCCCGACTCGCGACGGCCGGTTGCACACCTCGCCTCGGTTGCACTCAGCTGCACACGCTACGCACAGATACGCATTCCATTTCGACGCATCGAGCACGCACGTCACAGCAGACCGGCACAGTATCGAGCCGCGAACACGGTATAGGATACGGGAGGATCAGGAAGAGAATCAGCTGTTCTTATACGCCACGCGCACCGTTTTTCCGCGTTGAAAGAAAAGCAGGATGAGGGAGATCGTGCATCTGCAGGCTGGACAATGCGGCAACCAGATCGGCGCGAAGGTAAGTCGACGGTTAATCATTAAAATGAGACGTCCTTTCTTAAGATCCTTTCAAGTCAGCATTGAAAATGTGAAGGTAAAATTACTGCATGTGTATTTGAATTACAAACTCTAAATTCGAAGTTGATTCCTTCTCGGCGAATTTGACAAGAGGTTGCTCATTCATTAAGGAAGCGGTTTTTTAATGTTACATGTTTTTAAGTATTTTAGAAATCATTTATACGTACTAGGATGATGTTATATATTTTAACAAATTTTCTAACAAAATAAATATATTATTTCCCAACTTTTATCTAGCTTTAAAAGAAAGTATTTCATTAAAGCAAAACGTTGACAAATTAATAAATTGATACAATAATTTCAAACGAAAGTAGGGATAAAAAAATGTAACTTTAATATTGAAAGCTAAGAGGCACGAATAGAAGTCTCGATATAATCAAGTATATTCAACAGGGTGTGGAGAGTTGCAGAAGAGCATTGCGATAGGACAAGAATAATTTATTTGTTTGCGAAGATATGCGGTGCCGGAAATTAACCGTAAACCTGGTTTATGTCGCGTGCGGAGACAGACAGTCAATTAAAGCGCGAACAAGCCAGGCATTGTGACTCACTGTCTTTGAAATATCGATCCTAGTTCGCTCAGGGCATTTTCGTCGTGAGTTCCAGAAGAGCTGCGCTTCTCAAACTCTTTCTTCTCGTTCTCGTTATATTCGTCTTATTGTTAGCTAAAAACCGAAAATTTTTTTCGATCCCATTATTTTCAAGGAATTATTCTGTCCGCCAAAAAATGCGTTTATTTCTTTTTTTTTTTTTAAATACGTAATATTATTTTAATCATAAAAAACACAATAATTGTGAAATGAATATTTAATCTGAAACGATTAGCAAGAATAAAAATATAATTCCGAGAACTTGAGCTATCTTGTAAATTTCTCTGGGTCTCTCACTTTCTTGTCATAATCAATAAATTCGGCGGAAAGTAATCAGCAGAAACACGCAAGCGTTGTACCGAAAAAAAAATCCGAAAGAAAAAACCGAAGTACAATCTCTTTCTCAGTGATATCGTTTGACTGCGGCTATAATTAAGTCGAAGATAAGGCAGCGCACAACGAGATGGAATTTAAAGAGCTTTGGTCGTTTCGCTATTGAGATTTCCCCTTCTATCTCGTGCGGCCAAAGTGCGTAAAGTGACCCAAGTTTTAATCGTGCTAGCGAACATGAAGGACGGGGGCAGGAAACGAGACGAGCTTACTTAGCGTGTACTTATAGAGCACTTAAAATTCTGCAGTAATCGTCTCCATTATCCATTGGCGTGAAAATGAGTGGAATCGGTCGTCTCAAGATTTATCTTTTGGAATTAAATCAGTTATTTGAAAAATCAAGTAAATTATTCTCAACATGAAATATTGATAAAATAAAAAAATTGCTTTTACACGCGATTATAAAATAACTTGCTTGTTGAAGCAAATTAAATATCACCTATATCTATAATTGAAAATGAGTATTAGTGTTAATTATTCTTATTGCTTGTTGATTCTGAGTCAGACACGTTATCGGAAACATTGTAAAGTGTTATCGTAAGAGAAGCACTTCAGATTCGTTAATCCATTGATCGTGTTTATAGGCGTGACAACATAGGGATTCGCGATATTTGATATTCGATTACATCAATTATTGTGCGCAATATTAAAAAAATATATTTTTTGTATTGAAGATCAATTACTTTGTATGTTAATTAATTGTTAATTTATACT